TTCTCATTGCCGTGTAGTATTCCATGGTATAGATAAACCACATCTTCTTGATCCATTCATCTGTTGATGGACACTTAGGCTCTTTCCATGTTTTAGCTATTGTGGAGAGTGCTGCTATGAACATTGGGGTACATGTGCTCCTATGCCTCAGCATTTCTGTATCCCTTGGGTAAATTCCTAGCAGTGCTATTGCTGGGTCATAAGGGAGTTCTATTGTTAGTTTCCTGAGGAAGCTCCACACTTAAACATTAATTTTTAATATTAATGGTTATGGTTAGAATTGTCCAAAATTAAAATTGGTGCTTTCCAAAATAGGGAGTTATTGTCTGGAGGTACGCAAGCAAAGATCGGGCGACCCCTTGGGGGAAGATGTAGCCAGGAGTTCATGCATCAGATGGGAGTGCTGGAATAGATGTGACCTCTAATGTCATCAATTCTGAGAGTCTCCGGGGCTGCAGTCCCTTGACAGGCCTGGGTTATTTGGAACCTGTGACTTTATTGAGAGCAGCCCTCCCCGACCCACTCCTGATGGTAACACACTCTACCATCTCTAGTCACAAATGCGAGAGAGCTTGTTTCAAAAAGGGGAGAATGGTGATTTTTTTTAAGTGTCAATATTCTTCTTTTTTAATCTCAAAATGACATCTATGTCATTTGTAAAGTTGATGAATAATAGAAAAATGAAATGTGTTCCTGATGAAATGCTTGATATTAAGGAATTATTGTCCATTTATTTTTAGGTGTGATGATGGTTTTGTCTTTATATTTGAGAGAACACTTATCTTTTGGAGCTACGTACAAAAGCATTTGTAGATAAAATGATCTGATGTGCAGGAGGATTTGCTTTAAAGTAATATGGACGGGAATCTAGGTGAATTGAGGTTGATCCTGAGTTGGTAATTGTTGAAGTCAGTGATGGGAACATAGGAGCTCAGTTGTCAGTTCTACTTTTATTTATGTTTTAAATTCTCCATAATAAAAGAACTTTAAAATTTTTTTTAAATCTTTATTTTTGAGAAAGAGAGAGAGTGCAAGCAGAGGAGGGGCAGAGAGAGAGGGAGACACAGAAACCCAAGCAGTCTCCAGGTTCTGAGCTGTCAGCAGAGAGCCTGACATGGGGCTCAAACTCACAAAAGCGAGTTCATGACTTGAGCTGAAATCGGACGCTTAATCGACTGAGCCACTCAGGTGCCCCATAAAAGAATTTTTTAAAAAGTATATGTTACATGTGGGATAGAGAGTATTCCATTAAGTATATATATTGGATGGGATAGAAGGAAACAAAAAGTATAAAAATAAAGTACATGGAGGAAAAGGTACTGTGGGTGTGGGAATGGTGAACATAGAGGCTGTGGAGGCTCCAGAAGGCTCCGGGAAGGGGAGGGCTTGTGGCTACATTTGCCATCAGTCTTCTGTCCCCACAGGTGACTGTGGTCCGGAACTTGGAGGCCTATGGCCTGGACCCATGTTCAGTGGCTGCCATCCTCCAGCATCGATGCCAGGCTAGCACGACTGTCACTCCTGCCCCTGGGGCCAAGGACAGCCTGCAAGTCCAGATCCAGGGGAACCAGGTCCATCACCTCAGCCGGCTGTTGCTTGGTAAGCATCCCCTCTTAAGGAGCAGAGACACCGGCCTAAGTTGGCAGAAATTTTCCCACCAATTCAAGTCACACCAGTCATCAGAATCTATGTGGCCATATGGTTTTTAGTGGCCAGCAAGAGCTGGAGCTAAAATTTGATCCAGATCCTTTGTGCCGCTCCCCCATCTCACCTCCCCGCCAAATTCAGGGCTCTCTCCAGCATGCTATCAGAGTAGTTTCCTTCCTGGCTCTGCCTTTTATAAAACACTTTTTGAGCCTCCAGACTGGGCTAGGTACTTTGCTGGGCTTTATGCAGGCATGATCTCTCTTAATCTGACGATACTGCAGAACCGTTTCTGTTCTGCCCATGAGGGAACTGAGCTTCAGAGAGGTTCAGTACCTTGCCCTGAGATACTCAACTGTTCGGTGTTGTAGCTCAGCTCTGAACTTTGATTTGTCACACCCTAGAGCCTAAGTTCTCTCTACCACCTCAGGGGCTCCCAGCCTCCAGTTTGTCCTCAGTTCACACCATCTCTGCCTGAGTCAGCTTTCTAAAACCAACGTGATCGCATCACTCTCCTGTAAAAACTCCTTATGCCTCATCACTGCCTTCAGAATAAGCTCGTACGCTCAGTAGATAGGAGCCTCCCAGGCCAGATCGCCTTCCACTCAGGGTCTCTGGCAGCTCTCTCCCCCACCCCTGGGCCTCCGCTGTGCTGCCGCCCTTGCTGTTCCCCAGATGCACTGGGCACATTCACACTTGGTGCTTTGGTTCCCTCGCCTGGGGCGCCCTCCCACGCCCACACCTGCTCGACCATAGGGGCTCATTGGCCCAGCTTAGGGGTCACACGAAGCCTGTCTCAGAGCGGCCCCATTTTTTCTGCCCTTAAATTAGCATTTAAGAAGTTGCCAGTGTGGTACTTTCCAGTTGTGCTTATGTTTCTGGTTAGTGTCTGCAGCTTGGCCAATTTTTTCTAATATCAACACTCTGCTAGACTGAGCAGCTTAAGTCAGAGACCTTGCCTTCTTCATCCCGTTCATGCTCAGGGCCTGGCATAGTAAGTGCTCAATAAGCAAATGTATTTTAGGGCCTAAGGCTGTACCCTGTAGCTAATTTTTGGAGTTGACCCTTTTAAGTGAAGAACTCCTATCTGAGATGCTGAGAAGAAATACAGAGGAAAATAGCCAAGCACATGACTAAACACAAACGCACACATTCTCTCTCATGAGAAAATTATAAATGCCTCAAGTATACCTAGAAAGTGGCTATCAGTGTGAAAATTGCTAAAATACACACTTCAGCCATGAGGTATCAGGATAAATGGTCCATCCCAGACGGCTCCCCAGAGGAGCTAGGTTTGAGTTGGGTATAGAAGAGCCAAGTCACATAATGGAAGTTGTTGGAATGGAACTTCACAACAGAAATGAGTACACAGTGGGGCGAGAGGGCTGGGAAGTAGCTATGCGCTGGGTCGGCCCATGGGGGTCTGGGCCAAGGGCAGGTGGTGGCGGGGAGGGAACAGGAGGAGAGCAACCCCACTGAGGAGTTTCTGCTTTTTGGATTGTAGAAGAGTATCAGCTTCCTCGAAAATACATCCAAGGCCTAGAAAAGGCCCCCAAACCTGGCAAGAAGAAGTAACAGACTCTTGTTTCATGCGGACGAGCCAGTGGAAATACAAGCTCTGGGCTGGTAATTTATATGAGCATTTCCAGCTTTTACAAATGAAACCATATAATTCTTTACCAAAATAAATTTTTATTCTAATCTAAATCTGATTTCCCTCGTTTCCTCCACTTAGCTAACATGTAGTAAAATTTTCAAGTCCTACGCCAATTGTTTTTTTAATGTTTATTTATTTTTTGAGAGAGAGAAAGATAGAATGGGAGTGGAGGAGAGGCAGAGGGAATGAGAGAGACCCAGAATCCGAAGCAGGCTCCAGGCTCTGACCTGTCAACACAGAGCCCGACACAGGGCTCGAACTCACGAACTATGAGATCATGACCTAATTTGAAATCAAGAGTCAGAGGCTTAACCAACTGAGCCACCTGGCACCTCAGTCTTATGCCAATTCAAATTGACATAAGAGGCTGTCGTGGAGTGCCTTTTCTATATGTGTGATTTCAGTGGGTTTAGTGCCTTTCCTGCATTCAAGGCCAGAGCACCCATCCTCAGGCAGGTAGGGACCTCCTGTGTTTAAAGCCCCTCCCAGCAAATAGTCCACAGCCTCTTGCTCATCTCTTCCTACTACCCGATTAACCCTTCTAGCCCCAAAATAGTGCCTTCCCATCTCTAAAGGGTTAGTCGTATAGAACCCGAACTCAGCTGTTCTCTACCATCAAGCAAGGCAAAAGAAGAAAGGCTTGGCGCTACTCTGCAGCAACATTTGGGCTAGATAGAAATAAGAAATCCTAAAAGCACATGGGTTTCTCTACAACAGCGATTCTTCCCTAATGCTGGCACGTTGCCACTGGCGATGGTAGATTGTGATGTGGCTGCAGCATGATGGCCTTGTTACAGGGAAGAGTGTTATCCAACAAATGCTTTCTTTAGCCCTGAACTTCTTAACTGGGGGCTCATGGAAGAGGTCTTTAGTTGGTCCTCAGAGGATCTGTGAACTCCATGAAATGGTACGCAAGATTTTTTTGTATGATCATTTTCCTAAGAGAAGTTACCATGCTTTTGCCACATTCCCAGCGGGATCACTGCCAAAAAGGTTCAGAACCGCCGCTCTGGTCCCTGCTCAGTTCCTGGAAGTCACTTCCGTGAGTAAAGCTCTTCTGGTACAAAAGGAAGGAATGAGAGCTGAGCTGAATTCTTTTAGAGCCCTTTGGTTCTTACCGTCAGAGTTCAGTTTACTTCTTTCTTTTCTTTCTCATCTCACTTTTTTTTTTTTAATTGAGATAAGAAAGACTTGAATATATCCGTAATATTCACAAATTACCCATCTGGGGCTGGAAAGGAAGGAATGGATATAAGAGTATATGTGTAACGCCTCCTACCTTTTTCTATTAGACCCAGAATAATAGTCCTTGTCACTTGTGACTTGCTGTAGGTAAACCCCTTAATTTTACTAATCCTCTCTCTGCCAGTACGGGTGTATGGAACCAAGGGAGTTTGACCCCAAACAAGATTCTATTACAACAGAACCTGAGGGACTATGGTATGTATAGTAGTGATGAAATGTGATCCTTATATGAATATAGATAACATGTAGTACTTCATAAGGTTCTTTCACAAACATGATTGGCTTTGCACGGTCTTGGCGGGCGGGATTGGAGGCCCAGAGAGGTTGAATCTTGCCTTGGTGATCTCTGTTAAAGACACAAAGCCAGTAAGCAGTGAGGGTGGGTCTGAAGTGAACATCCACTCCTAACTGTGGCTTAACCAGAATTCTTCCAGGATAGTCCTGTCAGGACCTGTGCTTTGAATGGTGTTTCCAGTAACGATGACACATTTGCATTGAGTCATCTTCCCTTTCCTCCTTGTGAACGGGCAGTAGGTACGGTAGGTACGGTAAGAAGGCTGGGGAAGGTTATGCTGTTTAATGGGTTGGCTGGTTTGTTTCTATGTGCTAAGCCAAACACTATTGAGGTCAAACCCGTAACTTTGAACATAATCCCGTGCGTTACCAGATGAATTTCAGTGAAAAGCAGAAACTGGTTCATGTCTAGGTTTTGGCAAAGTTATTGAAAGACATACTTCTTGGAGGTCTAGGTGAACAAGTGTTACAGATGAGCACCATTCTGGGGTAACTTTAGGGACAGCTATTGGATCGAGCGTTCTCTTATCCAGGGAGCTAGGGAGTGAGCTGGCTGTCACCACTGGAAGGCCGGCAAGAATTCCTCTTAATAGCTTTACATGGCTGCTTCTTGATGGAAGTTAGATAATGCTAATGTGGAAGAGTCTTTTTACTCACCTCATCTAGGCCTCCTCCAGGTGAGCTGATCTTAAACTCTCAGAGGTGCGTCCTATCTGCCTTATTTTTAAATAATTCCAGAAATGGAGGAATCCTTGTCTGCCTGAGTAGCCTGTCCTGATGTCTAATCAGCCTTAGCTCCAGAAAGCCCCCTCCTCTCTTCTCACTCGGGAAGCCCTTCTGTAGCACATCCCCTTTCCTCTCCTGCTCTGGGAGGTGCATGACAGCCGGTCACCGGGGCAGCACCCTCCAGCCCATGAGTCCCGTCCCTTTTCTCCAGATTATCTGAACAGCAGCCTTCACTCCTGTTCACTGGCAAAAGAGAATCTGCCAAGAAGCGCGTGCCCTTCCTTGTTCCCACCCTCTCTCCCAGCTCCCTGTTTCCCAGAGATGGTGAAGGCCAAAGATGTCTCCAGTCTGAATCCTTTTTGCAACGAGCTTTTATTACTTTTTTTAAAACCCATATAAGAAAGACATTTAAAACGAAAATATCCTCAAAACAAACATGTATGCACTGGGCAGCACGAGGGTAGAAGGCACTGACAGCAGTCATACCCACCTCTGGGGGAAGGGATAATCTACACAGACTGTGTTCCAAGGCTTGGGCCTTGGCACGGTTCCTGGGTCTAACTGTGCTTTAGATAAAAGTCGGATTTTCCCCATAACCTTTTTATTTCATAAACACCCCTATCTCTGTATATATAGCTATATGCCCTTATGTATATATGGACGTGACTTATTTTTCCTTCTCAAAAATAAAATGGCCGCCCCATCAGAGGGAGGCCCTCAGCAGCATTCACAGTGGCTGCAGCAGGAGCCGTGCCTTCCGTTAATGTTACAGACATGCAGCATGAAGGAAAAGGGGACTCTCTACCCACTCCCTTTAATATACAGCAGGGAGAGAGATTTCTTACGGGAGGGAAGTGGTAAGGCTGAGCAGGAGATGGCGGATAACCAGGGCTTGGGGGGGTGCTTCTCAAAAATCTTGAGCTGCTAGTAGCTTGTCTTGCTTTTGCAGCTTTGAAGACGACACACAGTTTGGATGACAAGGGGTCAGCATTCCTTCTGGGGTCAGGGGCAATATGGATGCAGTGAAGGGTCAGGGAGGGGACTTCTGAGGCTACACAAAGAAGCTGGGGCTCAACCTGACCCAAGCAGGACCTGGGAAGGCAGAGGAGACTGACGAAGTGGTCTCTCAGAGGCTGGACTGCAAAACCGCCCCTGCTTTGGAAGCTAAAAATTCTCCCTCCGTACGGGAGTGTCTTTATAGTCCTGGCTACTTGCTTCAGTTGTCTGGCTAGTTTATTTTTAAGTTTGCACCTGAACAAGGAGCCAGTACATGTGTAAGTTAGGAATCCGACCCACCCTGTCCACGTAGTTTGACATCACTTCTTGGGAGTCAAAGCCCAGGACCTTAGATGGAAGGAGGCCTTTGACTCTTGACCCACTCTTGGAGGGAGGGCTCTCCTGGCCTTGCCTCCCACACCGCTGTGGTCCTCGCAGGAGCAGGCCAGCCGTAGAGCAACAAGCAAGTGCACCCTGCTCCTGTCTCTCTCTGAAAACAAAAAGGCACTGAGGTCAGCGGGGAGCCAGGCCACAGGCTCACTGAGCGCAGTGCCACAGGCTGGCCCGGGCTTCGGAACACAAAGGACTCCTGTGTTGGCTGAGCTGGAGGTTCCCCAGGCTGTAATCAAGGCAGCTCCTCTACAGCACCTGGAGACCCCAGAGTCCTGGCGGGAGGAGAGAGGCAGCGCCGCAGGCCACGGGGGACAGCAGCACAGCCAGGCTGTCCCCAGCTCCCTGGCGGGGGGAAGGCCGGAGACAAGTTGGACACACTTCTCTGTGACGCTTTTTGGCTTTCTCAGACTGCCTGATTTCCACTCTCCCAGGAGACATTTAAAGTGGTAAATGGCTGGTTTCCCTTTGGTGGAAACACATGATGATGATGTCAATGTCAAATTCAAAACTGTAACAAAAACAAACACTTGTTTGTTCATGACAAAGACGTGACTGTCACACTTGCGCAGATATATATGCCTTTGGGTTTACATGTGCACAGACTCTTGAGTGATGAGGGCCGGGGTGGGCTGCAGCTTCTCTGGAACTCTCTGAGCCAGCCTCAGCTTTGGTGCTCCCTACCTGAGCATCTGGGGCCAGTGGCTTTATGACCTTCCCTTGAGCATGAACAATGGGCACCTTGGGACAGTGAGGGGACAGTCCTCTTACGAGCATTATCCTGCTTTCCAGGGCTCAGCTCAGATCTGCTAAAGGAACATGCTACAATTTTTTACTCATAAATAAAGGTCTGTGGGTGGCAAATACGAGAGAAACTGAAGACGAGTAAAAGCCAGAGAAAGAACATAACAGCTCTAAAACCTTTCTTCTTTCCTTTGCCGGCTGGTGTGAACAGTTCCAGTCCGGTGAGGAGAGGGGCAGCCGGTTGGCTTCCGGAAGGATCGCCGAGGACCGCGGCTGCTCTCTCCCCCATCCTTCTCGGCAGCGAGTGGCAGGCCTGCGCACACCCGTGTCCCTCAGAGGTTTCGGACCACATCTGGGACTGCCAGGTGGGCACAAAAGCACCCGCCGGAGGTGTCCTGAGAAAAAGTGTCTGTTGCAAAATAATAATCATAAAAATAAATCCACGGGCACCAGAAGAGGAAGCAGGACCGGTTACCCAGGTTTGCCCTGGGATTCTCTTAGGGCCTCCTCCAGTCTCTGCCTAAACTTGTCATACTTCTTCTGCACTTGTTGGATTTTGTCCTGCTCCTCTTTTTCCAGGATCGTTAGGAAGTTCTGGAGCTCGGGGATGGAGAAGGCGTCCCACTGCGAGGCATGAGGGGGATGAGGGAGAAACAGAAGAGGAGACCGGTCAGAAGCCGCACCAGCTGAGGGGCCCACACTGCCTCCCGCGTGTGCATGGTTCACAAACGGTGTGCTACTGAGTAGGCAGAGGCAGGGCATAAAGCTTGGGTTTCCCTTGTCATACCAGCAACCAGATTTCAGATCCTGGCATCTCATGACCAAAAGGTACCAGTCCATGAATGGTGTTTTATTTGGAGGATCAACCATCTTCCATTTTGTCTGTGGCAGCTGAGATCTGCCCGGGGCCCCCGCTGGCCTGTTTAGCTGTCTGCTGTGGGGCGATGAGCCACTGGCTCTCAGTGTGCAGACCCCCAAGAGGCAGATGAGCTGGACTCGGCCTCCGGAGACCAGGTTTCAGCCTGACTGCACCACATGGTCTTGGGCACATCACCGCACCCTTCACCTGCCTGTTCATCTGCCACCGGCTTCGGGTATCCGCCCCCCTTGGCCGGCAGAGCAGACAACGTGGTGACATAACCTGTAAAGCTCTGCAGAGCCCGGCTGGCCCAGGCCTGCCCCGATGGGACCTGGACCCCCAGGGCAGAAGGCCCGGCTCACTGCTCTCAGGCTGACCCAGGAGCAGAGCCCCCGCCCCACTCTGTGGAGCCAGGGATTTTGACTCCTAAGCTCTTTGGAGCACTAAAGAATATTCAGGTTTATCTAGTTTAATCCCCACATTGCATCACTGAGGAGACGGAAGCCCACGAAGGGAAGGTGGAAGGGCTGCTGGGACAGAGCTGTGGCAGCACAATGGGAATTAGAGCCCTGGTCCCTGAACTCCAGGCCCGTGAGCTCTGCGCCGGGCCAGCAGCGTCGGACATTGTCTGCAGAGTACTTTTTCTGAACAAAATCTTACGCACTTCGATGTATAAAGCAGACAGGGGAGGCAGAGCTGCCGGCCTGAAGCAGGGAGAAGGGACAGAGCCCTAACACCCGCCTGGACGCCCCGCATCTCCATGGCGACTCCTGAGACCACTCCCACTAGGCAGAGGCCTCCACCCAGCACAGCGGGTGCTCCCCACCCCGGCCACTCCGTGACTCCAACTGCCAAGTACCCCAGGCCACGGAGAGCGCCAGCCTGATCGCACCCTCATTCGCGCCGCCAGACGGGACTCTGAGGGACTCCCCTTTTTGGAAGGAGGTCGGTTTTTAAGAACCAGGAAGAGACCCATGGCTCAAACATCTCAGTGTGTCTGAGACGGAGCTTGCCGGGCCTCAGGCCATTCTGGAGCAAAAATCACCTGGTGAACATACAACTTCCCCAGTGCCCCTCCACCCTGGGTTTTCAGAAATAAAGCCCATGAAATCCTTCCTTTCCACAGACCTTGCCAGACACAGGCCCTGACTTGCATCCCCCAGGATGCTTACAGTCCTGGCTTCGGACACCAAACCTCCTTGGCCCAGCACTTAGCCCGGCTCTACTTTCTCAGCCCATGTTCCCAGCTGCCTCAGCAGCTGCTGCTGCTGCTGCTACGGGGCCCCCACCTATGCTGGGCAGTGAGGACAACACCCATGAGGGTGCCCCCTCGAGGGTGCCCTGAGGGCTGGGTTTGTGCAACCAGCAAAGGAGCCCATACCTACCTCCACCTCTCCAGTTTCATTCTCCTTGAGCACAAAGCTGAGGACGTCATTGTCAGGCCCAGCCAGCAAGCGCAGGTACAGGGGGCAATCAGCGATAGAGAGTTTCTGGAAGAGCACTGCAAACCAAAGGAGGGAGTTAGGGGCTTATCTCGGAAAAGAGGGGCAGAGGCCCATGGTCGGGGGTGGGACAGACCCAGAAACGCCGACATGGGGTGGTTATAACCGGAAGTAGCCAAACTTTCAACGTAATTAAATGAACCTGAAGAGAAGACCTGGGGAGTGGCCTTTTATCTTTAGTGTCTGCTCAGTTTGAAACTTGTTTCCACTCGCGTCACCTAAAAGATTAGCAGTGGTGGGCGGTTTCTCTCCCATTCCACAGATCAGGAAGTGGGAGGCCAGGGTGTGGTCTTCCTGCGGTCACTATAAAGCGAGGGGCACTGAGAGCAGGGGTGCGCTCCCCTCCCCGTCAAGCTCTCCACCCAGAGTGCCCACGGGGCCCTTACACGCGGCTGGAGTGCAGTGCCCAGTGGGAGCCCGGTCCTCCCACCCACGTCTGGCAGCGGCTGAGTGGGAGACCTGGTTTCTGGTCAGGAGCCTGCTCTCGCGTACCTTGCCCGTCCTTGTGTATCCGCTTAAAAAGTGCAAACTTCTGGGGATTGTCCACAACCATGAACTTCTTGAGCAGCCCCTGGATGACCTCACTGACTGTCGTGGTGCTGCTGATGTGCAGCTGCTTGATGGCATCCAGAGGAAGATAGAAGGACGTCCGCTTGTCCGTGGTGGCTGCCAGGTTCACTTCCTTGATGGCGTCGTAGATGGACTGGGGCCGGATCCCTGCAGGCACGGTCACTGGCCGCCGAAGTTTCAAGTGCACTTTGATGAAACCCGTGTAGGTGCCATCTTCACTCTGAGGAACAGGGGGGCGGGGTGCCACATGGGTCAGCTTGGGTCTGTCATGCATGATCCTAGCTGCCACTCTCGGCCACTGCCCCAGATGGAGGGCAGGGGGTGGGGTGGTTGCAGAGGCCTTTCCAGTCAGCCCCCCACCTGTCTCCCCGAGTTCCTTCCCGTCTCTGCTGACGCGGAAGTGCTGGAGGGCGGAGACACTGCCCCCCCCCGCCCCCACCAGCCCCGCACTGGGCCAGGAGAAGGCACACAGTATCCAGCAACCCGGGAGGACACGAGGGACTGCTGCGGCTTTTGCTCTGGGGGCTCAGACCCTTTGCCTCAATCCCCTGCCTTTGGGGAGTCCCCACTCCTGGGAGGCAGGGTGTGGGAGGAGCAGGCAGGCTCTGTAATGAGGCCCCTGGAGAACCAACCCACCGGACCTCCTGCATTTCCTTCCCGAACCAGCAGCCAAGACGTAAAGCCCAGGTCCACCGGGGAGACGATTTTCTAGTGCACCATCTGGCTGAAGCCCCAGAGAGCCAGTTGCTACCCGCCACCAGCAGGGGGCAGGGTTCTTCTACCTTCTCCTTCCCTTCCCACGGAAGGTGGCCTTCCCGAGCCTGGCACAGAGTTGGTGCCTCCCCGCTAAGAGCTCTGCACAATCTAAGGAAGCCTCCCGAGATGCAGGCTGTAACAGTGCAACAACCAAGAGGGAGTGGATGAGGAGCTGCGAACCGCCCTTGTGAGGCCTTCCTGAGGGCGGAGCAGTACCAGGTCACTCGATGTTATTTAAATCCCACAAGAGCTTCGACAAGTGCGCACCAGTATCTCTATTTCACACTGGAGCTCAGGGACATTAAGGTTTCCCAAAGCGAAAAATGGGAAGAGCCAGAGACTGATTTGGATCTTGTTCTAAAGCCCATTCTATTTCCCTGCAGCTGCAGGGGTGGATCCCTGACCTTGGCCCTGGGTTCTCAGCCTTGCACAAGCCCCCAGGCCTGGAGAAAGGGGAGGGGCCTCAGAGGGGCCGCCCCAGAGCCTAGAGGTGGAGTCGGGAGCGCAGTTGGGGGGGCAGTGGGGGAGCCGGGTCCTGCGCACCAGCTTCATGCCCAGGCAGTTCTTCTCCCGGGTGTTGTAACTGTCAATCTTCTGCTTGATCTCCTGAAGTGTGGGCGGGCGCTGCGTCTCCTCAGGGGGTTTGCAGACATTCTGGAACATAGAAGTGAGAGTGGGTATGCAGTGTATGAGAAAGAGTAGGACCACCCCCTCCCAAAGGCCTCCCTGACCAAGCATAGGGGAGCACCAGCCCCACAGGGTAAAAACTAATCCATGGGCTCAAGCTGAGAATAATCTGAGGTCAAAAGTCAGTGGCACCACTGCCTAGCCCGCCAGCCCTGGGGAAGTAACTCTAAACCTCAGTCTCCTCACCTGTGAAATGGGAACAATAACTACCCTTCAGGCTTGCTGCGAGACTAGCATGCACATGCCCAGCACATGGCATGGACTACAAATCTGGTGAATCAGCAGAGCAGCATTTGCTCCGGGAGGGTTGCTATGGAAAAGATAGCATTTAGATGCTATGGGAGATGCAGAGAAATGCAAGCCGCAGTCCAGCTCCTCAAGGAAGCAACAATAGAGCTGGAGAGAAAGGAACGTACACGCAGTCCCAGCATATGCTGACGGGAATGACAGTAATTCGCCCAGACCCAGGGAACCAAAGGCACATGAGCAACAGTTCAGACCCCACATCACCAGCCACAGAGTTTTGCACATAAGTCAGTTCAGCTGATCCTTGAATAATACAGGTTTGAACTGCATGGATCCACTTAGACACAAATTCTTTCTTGATAAATACATGCCAGTGCTGTAAATGTATTTTCTCTCCCTTATGATTCTCTTCATAACATTTTATTTTCCCTAGCTCACTTTATTGTAAGAATGCAGTGTATAATACATCTAACATACAAAACTGGGTTAATCGACTGTTCATGTTATTGGTAAGGTTTCTGGGCAACAGTAGGCTATCAGTGGTTAAGGTTTGGGGGTGTTAAAAGTTACACTCAGATTTTTTGTGGTGCAGGGGGGAGGTCCAGCGCCCCCGACCCTGACGTTGCTCAGGAGTGAACTGCATATATTTGTCAAATGAGCAAACCAGAAAGGGCCAGGGCGCTGTCCTTCTACAATAATTGAAAGAATCCGCCTCCTCTCCTAGGGGCACGGGGACAACCAGCATCTTCTCAGCACGTCCTCTGTGCCAAGAACTTGGCACGCACAGTCTCTTAATCCTCATGAACCAAAACCGTGAGATGGAGTTGATTACCTACATTTTGCAAGTGAGATAAGCAGGACTAGGAGCAGTTCAGTAACTCGCCTAGAGCTCTGTCCATATATGTGCAGAACTAAGAGGAAACTTCAAGGCCATTCTGTTGTGTCCTTCCCAGGGGCTTCCCTGGTGCCCCCTCCCCCCGGGGAAGGGGAAGGGAAGAACAAAACTGAAGAAGCAGCTGGAGGTCAGTGTCCTTCACACTGCAGAGGGGGGGGGGGTCAGGGCTCTCAGCAACTCTGTCCCTCCATCAATTCCCTACATTTCTCCCAATTTCCCTGCTACCTAGCTGCTCAATCTTGTCTCCATGCTGCCTGTGTGGGGCCCGGAATGCAGGAGCCACGGTTTGGGAAAACAAATAAATAGGTTGGTAAATAACAAAAAACAAAAACAAAATAACCCCCCTCCCCCCCCACCCAGAATTCGCCTGATTTTATAAATCCAGCAGACTCCGGGCGGGTCCAGGAATCTCCTTTGGCAAATGAGGAAAGTGAGGCCCAGAGAGGGAAGCCGCTGTGTTCTCCGGCTGCAGCCCTGACACTGCCCTGCAGGAGTGTGGTCTGGGGGTGGGGGGTACTTCACACCCACCCTGTCAGTGCAACACCAGACCGCTGAACACAATGGGCCGCTGAACACAATGGGCCACCCCCAACAGAGCCTGGCCTCCCTCCGAAAGCCTCCATGGGGATGAGACACACTCAGCAGGAGGCCCTCACTTCCTCCCCCTGCTTTCCCACCCCCCAGAGCCTGTAATGGGTTCTGTGGCCGCCACGGGGAGCTGGTGTGGCCCCCGCCCGTGCCCCTCTGCATGGAGATAAGCCGCCACCCCTCTTCCATCCCAGCATCTTCCCTTGGGCCTGTCTGCTCCCGCCTGTACTCCTCCTCAGGGGTCCTGAAAATAACAGCATTGTGCTACCTACTTCCACATACCTTTCTCATGTACCTACACTACTCCCATTTTATAGACTACAAAACTGAGGCTTGGAGAGATTAAGGAACATCTCTGTGGTCCCACTGCTAGTAAGCATCTGAGTAGGGCCTAAAACAGAGTCCCTGTAAGTCTGGAGCCCATGTTCTCAATTCACCACATGGCCACTTCTAGGCCACTTCTGCCACTCCCATAATGCCCACTGAAATCCCACGCCTCAGGGCTATGGTGTGCTGCTATTACACCAAAGGCCTATAAACTATGGGACTTGTGAAACATTCATCCACGGTGTATCTGGTCAGCGGGCCAGGCCCCAGAGGCATCAGGACCCACGGGCATCACCTGCAAAGACGTCAAGGAAGGACTTATCTCTCAAGTGGGATGTAGCTGCCAGGAGGTAGGACCCACCCTTTTCCTCCATGGCCACTCAGACCCCCAAACTGGACCTTGATCCCATCGAAGACCACACAGCGGGGAGCACAGGCCAGGGCATCTCCTGTTTGCTCCAGGTAAGTAGCAGTGATGTGAGCCTCACAGAGTGTCTTCATTCACTGTCACTGCTCCTCTGGAGCCCGCATCCATCCCCACA